GCCTGTGGTCCCAGCTACTTGGGAGGCTGAGGCAGGAGACTCACTTGAGTCCAGGAGTTGGAGGTTGCTGTGAGCTGTGATGCTACAACACTATCCAGGGCGATAGCTTGAGGCTCTGTCTCAAAAAAAAAAAAAAAAAGAAAGAAAGAAAGAAAATTAAATCTATTGGCTGGGCGTGGTGACTCACTCTTGTAACCCTAGCACTCTGGGAGGCCAAGGTAGGTGGATTGCTTGAGCTCAGGAGTTTGAGACTACCCTGAACAAGAGCAAGACACTATCTCTAAAAATAGCTGAGCCTTGTGTCAGGTGGCTGTAGTCCCAACTACTTGGGAGGCTGAGGCAGCAGGATCACTTGAGCCTAAGAGTTTGAGGCTGCTATGAGCTGTGAAGCCAAAGGGTGACAAAGTGAGCTTTGTCCCCCAAAAAGAAAAATTAAGTCTATTAATGTAAATAAACCACATTTCAGGAGTTCAAAAAGAAGTAATTTATTAATAATAAAATATAGAAGTCATTACAAATACCCCCTCATGCCATTTGGGAGAAAAGGAGAATTATGAACTAGGAGATAAATCTTAAAAATAATCTTGTAGCTTGGTGAAATGCAGGGAAATGACTTATGGTGGTATCACCAGGGAAAGAAATTATCAAGACAGATACTGAAGTTACTGTCCCAAGACATGGCAACAATTTTTATAGTTTTAGAAATGTAACAATTCCCCTTTATATAAAAAACTCTTCTAAGAACAAAATTATATTAACAAAGAACAGAGCAAGTTAGTGAGTTTTGAATCACTCATTTCATCTTCACATTGTACAAAACTGAAATTCTTGTGAAAGTTCTCAATTTATTCATTTAACCATATTGCTTAATTTATGTAGAAGGGTACCTCTTCCCTCAGCAGCTGTAGGGGAGAAAGAACACCTGCCCCATCCTCTGCCAATCCTTAATTAGCTATGAAATTTACATTTTTCTTTATTATTTCAGAATATTATAGGGGTACACACATTTTGATTACATAGTTTGCTTTTGTATATTTTAAATCAAAGTTGTAAATGCGCCCTTCATCTAGAAAGTGTGTGATGTACCCATTAAGTGTAAAGTTAGTCACCCATTACCCCCCCAACCTTTTTTTCATTAGGAAAAGACTGTGAAGTTTAAATTAATTGGCAGAAGTAGATTTTCTTTCTTTCTTTCTTTTTTTTTTTTTGCAGTTTTTTTTGGCTGGGGCCAGGTTTGAACCCACCACCTCTGGTATATAGGGCTGCTGCCCTACTCCTTTGAGCCACAGGGGCTGCCCTAGATTTTTTTTTTTTTTAGACAGAGTCTCACTATGTTGCCCTCAGTAGAGTGCGGTAATGTCACAGCTCACAGCAACCTCAAACTCTTGGGCTTAAGCGATTCTCTTGCCTCAGTCTTCCAAGCAGCTGGGACTACAGGCGCTGGCCATAACACCCAGCTATTTTTTTGTTGCAGCTGTTTAGCTGGCCTGGGCCAGGTTCGAACCTGCCACCCTCAGTGTATGTAGCTGGCACCATAACCATTTTGCTAAGAGCACTGAGCCAGAAATAGATTTTTTAAAAAAGACTAATAGTGAGATAAAAAGTAAAATAGGGTCTTTAAAGAGGTAATTAAGGTAAACTGAGATCTTATAGGTGGGTCCTAAACCAAAATGACTGCTGTCCTTACAGGAAGAGATTAGTAGGACATAGACAACATAGACAGAGCCACACATGTGAGGACATAGTGAGGAGATGGCCATCCGCAAGCCAAGCAAAGAGGCCTCAAAAAGCCAAACCTGCCCATACCTTGATCTTGGACTTCATACCTCCAGAAATGTGAGAAAATTAATTTCTGTTGGGTAAGCCGCCCAGTCTTTGGTACTTAGTTATGGCAGCTCTAACAGACTAACACAGGAGGGAATAGTGTAAGAACTTAGTGACCTTGACCTGAGAACATATCTCGATAAGATTAATTTTGAGCTCTTACCCATGCTTTTAAAATCTTTTTTTCTTTTCTTTTTTCCCCTCTTTCATAGTGAGTCTGTCTACAGCTATACCACCCTGAACGTGCCCAATCTTGTCTCATAGTGAGTCTGTCTCAGGTGTCCCTGGACCAAATTCTGCTTCATCCAGTACTGCCTCGCACCCCACACCCAGCAAACATATCCAAGGCCCATTTTAGCAGCATCACTTTGCTCCCCTGATGGATACTGAACCAGATTTCTGGTCAGTAGTTCTAGCTTGGATTCTAGCCTCAATCTCACCTGTAAAATCAGAAGGCTACTCTTTCCTTCTCCCTGCCTCTCATTTATGGAGAAATAGTGCCTTTGGGTTGGAGGGAAGACTTGGAAGAAAGTTATTAACACTAAGCTTAGAAAGGAGAGAATGAAGGATATAATTAAAAGAGAAAATTCATATGCAAAAAATGCAGTGTACTATAGGAGCAAAAGATCACATGGTATTAGTTACTTTCCAGGGCCTACTTGTTCTCCATCTTCCAAAGTATTACAGACAAAGGATGAGTTTCCATTTGTGGTTAAGTGAGCAGACTAGGGGAGACAGGTTTTGAAAAGAAGGGTAAGAAAGGACATTGTCTGTGACATCTTGCCAGAATGCATCTGGTTTGAAGAGGAGTGAGCCAGAAGCCCCTCAACTGTCACCCACCTGCGAAGGTTGGGAACATTTAGCTCTGGGCTAAAGTACTCTTGCCCATTGGTGTCATAGAAAGCTGGAGAAGATGCATCTCTGTCAACCTCCCTGGCCTCAGTGACCTTTGTTCCCTTTTTAATTTGCTGTATTTTGGGGTGGCACCAAAGAGATTTTAAATAAAATTGTATTAGACCAATTGCTGTTGACCTTATTGTCTTGCTAACCAAAATGTTATCTTTTTAAGGGAACCAGCAAGATGACAAAAGCATGGGTCTTTTGGAGAAGTTATAAAATTAAAGGAGTTACAAGTTTAGGAAAGGCTAGGCCTATCCAGCCTGTTTAAGAAAATGATAAAATGATAAAAGAAACAATTTAATGATTGTTCTCTATTTATAATCATAAAACCATCACACTCATATCAGTCATTTGAGAGAATCTGAACAATATGATCTGAGAGGTCAGGCTTGGCTAATCCTTTGAAAAAGTAATAATACATCTAAGAAGGAAATCCTGAGGATACACCCCGGGCTGTCAGGTGGCACAACCAGACTTGTTTTATACGAAAGCATTTGATGGATCCAATTAACTAGTAAGCTAGCCACGTGCCGAGGCCAAACACCAAGGCACAAGTTCTGATTTTGAACAGGTGCTGCCAATGACTTTTCTTGAGCTGAAAGGCAAGACTCAGAATTGACAGTTCGGCCATTTCTTTAGTATCTTTTTCTTCTTGACAAGGAAAGCAGAAGGTCAAAGAGGAGAAAGATTCATCCCTTCGGAGTCTTCTGGATGGAGATTTCCGGAGGTGGCGCTCTGAAAATTCGGGAGCAAGGGAAAGCGCAGGGCAAGCGCAGGGCAAGCGCAGGGCAAGCCAGCTCCACCCTCTTGCAACAGCCTCTTCAAGGCCACAGCCCGATAGACTCAATCTTTTCAAATCCCCTACTCTTTTCCCTCCGATCTGCCCTAAAGCGCCCTTGGGGACTTATTCCCATCCGGCCTGAGGATTTCTGTGATTCCTTCAGCGCCTTCCCCAGAGATCACACTCGAAGAGATACTGAGGGCAAGGAAGGTCTGTCGGGGGCCAAGGCCGCTAATAACGACCAAGGCCACATTGCAAGAGGGTCCCAAGTATGTACGTGGAGGGCGGCGGGACCACCAAGTTGCCCCCCACTCTCTTTCTGGAGGACCACATGAGGCCTGCGAGACACTTACCCGAGTCTTGTGGCCGTCTGAGGGGCGTGGGAATCCCAACTGCGGTCCTGTTAGCACCGGTGCGCTCGGCTTGGGCTGAGCCACCGCGGACGCTGGGATAGCGACGAGCACTAAGCGGAGCCGGGCACCGCCGGGCACCGCCGGGAACAGGAAGGCGAGGCGAGGATGCGCTTCCGGGGCTGCAGGCTACGGGCCGCCCCGCGTCCGAGCCCGGGAGAACCGCCGGTTCTTACCCTAGTGAAACGTGGGTCCGCCTCCAAGGCAGCCATACTCCGGATCCACCCTAAGCAGCGCCGCCTCGGCATCACAGTCCCGAGCTAACAAGCTCATAAATTTATGACCGAACGAAAAAATTTTATTATTCGTTTTGTTGTGAAAAATGAGGAAGGTCTGTTTCCGCCCGGTTTCGAACCGGGGACCTTTCGCGTGTGAGGCGAACGTGATAACCACTACACTACGGAAACGCCTGGAGGTTGGGTTCTCGGAATCAACACTTCTTCCTGTGTAACGCGCATTTTTTTTTTTTTTTTGTCGTTGTCCAGTACTAGAGAATCAATTAAAAGTTCAGACCAACTCCCCCCAGCATTCAGACTTGAAACCAAATCCTTAATAATTTACTTTACAAGTGACTAGATGGAAAAGAAGAAAACAGAGACTTTATTATTTCTGAACGACCCTTTATTATTGTTGCTCAAACCTGAAGATTTTGATGTTTTCCCCTTTGCTTAACAAGTTACTTATTGTTTAGTCAAAATTGGCTGAGAGCCTGGGCGCGATTAGAGGTCGGCCACTGTTTCTCTAGCTATGCCTTGATTAGTGCCACAACGTGGTCGGACGTGGAGTGTGCTCTACAAAAAAGCGATGGCTCCATGTGTAGTCAAAAGCCAAGTACTTCTGCTTCCAAGATTTCTTGGTAACTTGCACGAATCTTTTAATTCATTGACTTTCCGTAGAATTTGGAAAGGAAAGAAGCAAAAATACCTACTCACAGCGAGCCAGCCAGGAGTCGAACCTGGAATCTTCTGATCCGTAGTCAGACGCGTTATCCATTGCGCCACTGGCCCCACGTGCTAATAAGACGACAGCAGGTATACCTTCATAAGAAACCAGGCGGTGGCATTTGTCTTACCCTCTGGGCTGTAGGTGAAAGTCACGTTTTCTGGCTGATACAGGTTCTTAGCGTGTGGACTCCCTGGTGGCCACTTGTACACACACGCCTTTGTCTTTACTCCTTTATCTATCTGCGAGCTGAAAAATGGTTGTGAAATGCAAACTCCACATCCTCTCTGCCCTAATATCTCTTCTCCATTCATGCATTCATTCATTCATTCTATTAACACATTAACTGCCACGGAGTTGTATTTAACTAAGGCTAATTTTGACGTCTGGGCCTCATGAAGCATATATAACTCATACGTCTCTACTTCAAGAGCCACGTAATAAAACCCCATGGCCCCAAGAAATAAGTTTGGGGATTTTGGGGGTGGGGGGCGTCAATGTTAATAATACTGTTCAAAGCACTAGAGATACAACCACAAAGAAAACAGATGGGACCCCCTGTCCTCAAGGTGGACATGGTGGAGATAGATCATAAAGTACTAAATAAATAAAATAATAGTGATAAGTGCTTGGAAACAAATATAATAACATAGGGAAAGGGGACATGAAAGTCCAGCAGTGAAGGTGACGAATGAGAGAGAAATGCTAGTTATTAGGAGGGAAAGAGTGATTGAGCTAGAACAGGAGAAAATCTCAGGGGTAGACCCTTGTAAGGACTTTGGCTAGTACTCTATAGGAAATTGGAAGCCATTGTATTGGTGGAAGAATTTGTTTTTTATGTGTCTCTCTGTGGGTCGTTTAAAAAAAGTTTTTTTCTAAATATTTACTAAGCAAAACTGTGCTAGGCACTTTCACTACATACTACTCCTACATCTCAAAATTTGACACATTTAAAAGGAGCATTGACTCCCGCACACAGAAATGCTCACTTATTCATTCACTTTGAAAGCAGACGTCTCAGATGTGTTTCAGTCTCTTTATATTTCTTAGAAGAAAGCATTATCCCCGCGTTATATATATATATATAATCCCCGTTATATTATTATAACATTGGAGAACACTGTAAATAAGTTGAGGGCTGAATGAGAGTAAAACTGCCTGATACTGAGAATATACACGTTGAGATTAGAAAATATTCGTTTTCAGTTTATAAAGTTTCAACAGCCCTTACAAAAAATATTCTTCTCTTTCTGCATAAACATTAAGGTAGACCCAGTTATGGATTTCTTCTCAGACAATAGAACAGGGATCTTCTCTCAAGTTGTACACTATGGACCCCTAGGGCAGTGTGGTGATGATGGATTCCATCTCAGAATAATACTTTTAAATATAAGAAGTAAGTATATCAGATTTCAAAAGAAAACCAATTATGTTGAAATATATTAGGAAGACATTTTGGCTTGGCTCCGGTTGCACAGTGGTTATGGCGCCAGCCACATACACCCAAGTTGGCGTGTTGGAACCCCCCCTGGGCCAGCTAACCAACAATGACAACGGCAACAAAAAACAGCCAGGCGTTGTGGCGGCTGCCTGTAGTCCCAGCCACTTGGGAGGCTGAGGCAAGAGAATTGCTTAAGCCTAAGAGTTAGAGTTTGCTGTGAGCTGTGATGCCACTGCACTCTACCGAGGGCGACATAGTAAGACTCTATCTCAAAAAAAAAAAAAGATATTTTAAGATTGTGACAGTAATATTTGTGTGATCCCTTACCAATACACTAAATGCCAATATTCAGTGAGGGTGAGTGGGGTTCTAATAAATAGTGCAATTGCAAAGCAGTGATGAACATAAATGAAATTTTAAGAATAGATGTGAAAATATTTGTGATTTCCAATAGTGATACTCATAAGAGCTTAAATACTACTGTGGTTGTTGCCTACACATGGAAGAAAACACAAAATTTCATGACATCTTAGTCAAAATTAACATTTTTTTAAATCCGAGTTCACAGATCACCCTCTTCCAAACAGCAAGAGTAGATTTCTGCTCTGAAGAGGAGTTTTGAAAAACATGAACAATTGAGACCAAATATTCAGAAATAAAACAAACTGGGATACCTCCTCCTCCTATTTTCTCCTTATCACATACTCAGGATTGGAAGGCTAGATCCTAGGGCACCCCTGGAAGTCACAGGTTCCTTCTTGCACTTCCAAAATGGGCTTAAACTTGGCTACTTGGAGGCTCTGTCCACATTGGCTCTTCTCAGTGTGTGTCTACAAAAGTTTCCCTTTATTTTGCAGATTTTGAAGGCCTCTCTTGGCTGCCTCAAATTTTTCAGCCATATTCATTACAATGAATGCTTTCACTTTGTTTCTGGAGATCTTTCTACTGGGTGTTCTTTGTTAACAGTTCTAGTTCCAGCTCCGTTCTTCTCTTTAGTGGTTATATCCAGTCAGAGAAACAAAGTCCAGGAAAAAAACAAAACTCGTAGGAGAATATATATATTGGCTTATATAAATGTAGGTAGGGTCTGGCAAGTCTGAAACCTGAAGGGCAGGCCTGGAAACTCAGGCAAAGGCTGATTTTGCAGTAGTTTTGAAATAGAATTCTTTTTTTAGACAGAGGCTTACTTTGTTGCCGTGCTGTAGCATCATAGTTCACAGCAACCTCAAACTCCTGGTCAAGCAATTCTCTTGCCTCAGCCTCCCCAGTAGCTGGGACTACAAGCATCTGCCACATTGCTCTGCTAATTTTTTTTTGGTGGGGGGGATGTTTCTTGCCCTTGCTCAGGCTGGTCTTGAACCCATGAGTTTAGTCAATCCACTCACCTGGCACCTCCCACAGTTTGGAGAAAGCCATAGTAGGTGTGATTGCTTTGTTTATAATGATTATACAAGTCCAAGCACACTCTTCCCAGAGTGCTAGGATTACAGGCCTGAGCCACCACTCCAGGTCTGAAATAGAATTTCTTACTCACTGAGGAAGCTTCTGTTTTGCTCTTACAGCTTTTTAACTGGATGGGGCCCACCTACATTACCAAGGATAAATTCCTTTATTTAAGGCAAACTGTGCATGTTAACCACATTTACAAAATATCTTCCCAGTAACATATAGATTAATGTTTAATTGAATAACTGGGTACTATAGCCTAGCCAAGTGGACATATAAAACTATCACAGTGGTAAACGCTCCTCTGTGTCTCAGTGCACTGTTTTTTTGATTTTGCTCCTAGTCATATTGAAAACCGCGCTGTCCTCCACTCCCATATTTCTTTGTTATTGTTAGTAGTAGGTGGCTCAGTGATCTATATCTTCTGCAATTTAGATGTGTGGAGCAAAGCCAATGTAAGCCTTCCATGGTCCATCCCAATCATCCTGATCATAGTGATAACTGAGGAGGAGATAGGATTCACATCAAGACTTCTGTAAATGACTGCTGAAAGTCTCAATTTTCTTCCAAGACTTATCTCTGGCTAAAAACTCCTTTGACATCCTAGGAGAAATTCTGTGTAGACTTTGCTGCCAGTCAAAGGAAAAACCCTAACCAAATATCATTGGTTCTGTTGCCTGGCACCTCCCACAGTTTGGAGAAAGCCATATTAGGTGTGATTGCTTTGTTTATGAAGATTATACAGTTCCAAGCACACTAAAATATGATCACTAATCTTATAATATCAAATAGGTGCTTATTTCATGATTCTCAATCACACTAAGTGTTGAGTTCACAGACTTTCACTCATCTTATGTAAATAAGAACTCTAATAGGCATGGACTCTTACTGTTCTTTACATCATTTATGTAGGCAAAGATAAGTGCCAGTAGCTGCCTTATAGTGTGTCAAAGAAATCCTTCAAAGATTAATACAGCTTAGATTTTAGCATTATCATCAGGACAACAGCTGATCACAATTTTAGGTTTCCCTTTGGAAGTTTCTTTCATAGCGATGGCAACAATTCACAGATTCTTCAGAGCTTAATTAAATCCCTTTGTTCAAATTATATTCCCAAAGACAGATATATTTTAATAGGGACAGAATAAGTTGAAAAGAAGTATGAATACTCATACAAGCCCACATAACAAT